AATCTGGGTTCTGTTAGCAAGACAAAAAGGGCAAATGGGCTTCTGTGGAGGTTCCCAGCAGTGTACACTGGAGGAAGTTTGAGGCTAGGTTATGGATAGACCTTTATGCTACACTCAGGAGTTTACTCATCAGGCGTTGATCGGAGTTGGTATAAATTTTCTACCATGGTGTGGTAATCTGATTTAGCAAAAATGATTCTGCCAGCAGAATAGAGAGTAGAAATAAAGAGAGACAGAGAGGAGGAACGGAAACCGGCACAGAGGCCTGACCTAAGGCAGAGGTGATGATAGCAATGTAGTTTCCTTCTTAAAACAGTCGTCTGGGAGAGAAAAGGTGGTGTTCTAGGGCTTGTTTTCTAAATTTGTAAATGTTATTGAATATTATGTTTAGTTTGACATTAAATAAAATTAGGGTATTACACAAAGGAAATTTAGAATTTACGTATTTGTGCAGAACTGCTAATTATTAGTTGCCTAACACTCCTCCTACAGGCAAGATTATAAAACTGCATCTTTTGCTTGTAGAACCATTTCGGTATGTATATTGGCTAAATACTTATATAAAAAATGCTTCCTATTTTGTGTGGACTGAATAACCATGTGGATTCTTGAAAAGTTTTAGAATCCTCCTGCCTATCCTCACAGTGTAGTTCTGTAGTTTGGATAAGGTAATGTACTTGAAACGACCTTTTGTATTATAAAGTGCTATAGAATTGTCATAATGTTGTGCATTTCCGTTTCACAAAGTTATGCAATAGTAAGATTCGATTCACACTTCATTTGAAAGAAAAACTATCTGAAAGAGTAAAGCAAGGAGAGTACATGTTTTCTGCATGTCCAGGATGATTGTTGTTTCAATGTATCTTGTGTCCATTGCTGAGTGCAAATGGAATCTGACTTACATAATAATGATTTACATATACAGTGATTAATTCATTAGAAGGTAGTGTTATATAAATGAGGATTTGAAAAATTATAGTTAGATATTTTCATTTTAAAGTAATTTTTTGTATAAGTTTCTTTTAAAAGTCTCATCACACTAATAAAAATACACGCACTCCTTTCATTTTGCTTCTGCTGAAGCCCTAACCGCTCCTGGAAATAACGGCAGCATCTTTAGAAATAGATGAGCTGAAGTTGCAGCCCCCTTATCACCAGTGCAGGATCTTATTTTCGTAATGATTCAGAAGAACTTCTGGAAGAAACTGGAAAGAACTGAATTATTTTTCCTAACTCAGTGTATGAATCAAGGAAAAGCATGAGTGGCAGGCTCACGCAGGCGTATGATACCATTTCTTTCTCTTCCTGCCAAAACAGAGACTTCAGGAATTACACCATTAAAGGAAGAGGAATTTTGAGAGCTCCTAGATTCACAGGATAATTCAGAGAAATAAAGGTGAAAAGGTCAAGGCGGCAGGGAAGTCAAGCTGGGAACTTTAGAGGCCCTTCTAGTCAGTCTCCACGGCGTGGGGGTGCAGGTGTGTGACATTCCTCGTGGGTGAGCACCCAGCCTTGGTTTACGCCCCCTATGACCAAGTCATGTATGCCCTTCATGGGCAGTACTGATGGACAGTCTTATCTTGAATTCAGGGTCACTGTGTTTTGTGCAGATCAGAAAAGGACACCTCCTTTGTGCTGACTTACAAAAAGCTGCCCTGCTGGGCCGGTTCAGTTCAAGATCCCCTAGCATGCTGGGTAGGTGTACTGGCTGGGTTGCAAACCCACCTGCCCTCTGGCCCGATGCCTTTGTGCAAGGCATAAACTGCACAACAGGGCGAATTTGTGAGCTGGCATTTGCCTCTTTGTAATTTTATCTACTAGAGTTAATGTTACCTTTTACGGTAATACATAATAAATGACATAAGTGTGTCCCGTCTTCTGTATAAGAGTCACTGAGCTATTTGAAAACAGATATACTAAGTATCCTTGATCTCGCTTGTTGGTGACATGCAATTCTATCTCCTTCAGTCAATCTTTGTGTTAGCAAAGGACTGCTGAGCCTTGTCATGCCCATTATCACGGTCAAAGGTGCCTCTCTGAATGCAGCCTCCTTTGCCAGCTCAGGCCCAGGGGAGTGCCCATCACCAGATAATTTTTACTTCCTGGCTGGCCCTGGGCAGAATTGTCAAGAAAGTGGCTTATTGTCACTTCCTTTTTTTCCTTCTTGCATCTAATTTTTACCAACTCTCTTTGAATTTTTTCTCCCTGGCTCTTTGTATGTCTGACTGATGCCTCTTGTAATCCCTGACATCACCCCACAGAAACCTAGGCAATCTGGAAAACACTCACCAGGCACTACAGATGCTAGCGGGCCGAGGCATCACTCCTTTCCAACACTACCTGCTTCTCATTAAAATTCTGGATCGTGGATATTCTTGCATCATAGCCAGCTAGGGAGAGGGGAAATTCTAGGAGAAAGGTTCTTTTTACTATCCCTTAAATAATTGTGGATGTAAATGGCTGATCCCATTTCTAATCAGATGTCAGAACGTTGGACCTCTATCCCCGGGGGCAGTGAAGAGCCATGAGTGGGGTTTCTGTAGGGAAGTAGCGTGTTAAATAAGTTTGAGAAAGGCCATTGTGGAGAGCGTGGGATGGAGGGTGGAGAGAGACGGGGAGGAGGCTGTTGTGGCATGCACGTGAAAGATGGGGGTGCCGTGTCCGGGCATTGTTGGCTTGAGGAACCTTGGGACGCTGCAGCACAGTTGAAGACAGAGGCAGCTGACCTTGGCGTGGAGTGGCTGTGGAGCGTCAGGGGGATCACCCAGGAAGGAGTCACTCTTCCCTCTTGGGCAGCGGGGCGTGGATTATGGAACACACACGGAACAATATATTTGGGAGGAAGTATATCTAAAGGTGGAAACGATGGATTCCTTTTTGAGCTCACTGTTTGAAGCACCTGCAAGACGGGAAAGAAAGTGACGTCTCAGCATTTAATCCATCCAGTTACAGCGTTTTATCACCAGACAGAAACGTGTTTCCTCAAGTCCACAGGAAATCATCTGCTTTTACTTCAGCCCATTTCCTCTCTACATTCAAAATCAACCTGAAGATACTACTCTCAGCCAGTTTTGTCTTCCCGGGGAAGTAGTATTTAAACCGAAGGCCAGGGAGGGGGATCCCAGCAGTGAGAACTGCGTGTCTGACGACTTGGCAATAGAGACTAATCGAAGGGGTGGAGGCATCAGCCCCATGGAAAGGACGGGCGAGAGGGGCTGGTAACCTCTTGAAGCTGCGCGTGGCCTGCGGTCCTCGTGTGTTCATTTGCAGCGGCACGGTTTGAATATGGCTTTTTCTGATTCCAGAGCCCATAATATCCCATCTAAATGAATATTTTGTGTCCTTCTACTGTATCTAAATAGTAGTCCAGGTTACTCTCTATCCTTTGTCCCTACATTATTTTTCTTTATAATCACTTATTACTACTTTTATGTTGTACATTTATTTTTTAAATTAGTGTACATTATCTGTCTCCAGAATGTAAACTCCCTGAAGCCAAGGATTTTATTCATCTTGTTCCTAATATATTGTGGTCAAGTTTGTTTCATCTTTTCTGTCTCTTTATTTCAGCTCAGTGATTTTATTTAACTTAGATACAATGTCACTTAAAAATCACTGTTCTTGGATAATTTGCATCAGTGTCTAATCAAATTCCACCCGCAAGATAAAAGGAAAAATTAAGCTATTATTTCAAATTTTACCTAAAAAAAAATAGCATTCAGCCATGACATAATTTTAAAGCTAATTTTGTACTGGGTTGGAAAAGTGTTTCCAAGTAAAAGCAAGGGTGGTTAAAGGATTCTCAAAATAAATATTTCTTCATAATATTCTTAATTATTTTTAATGTGTATATGTAGATGTTTTATTATTTTGCATTTAAGATTGTAACTACTTACTGAGGTTATGAATAAATGATAAAATCATTTATGATAACTTAAACTTTCAAGCTTGTAACCTTCTGATTAGAATTTAACACAGGGAAGCTTTACTCGTGTGAATATAATAGCATTTGAATGAGCTATGGGAGAATTCCAATGTAACGCTACTGGTAGAGAATGATTCTTTTAGACACCAAGACTAATAATTTTTAACAATATCTAAAAACATTGTAGGGAAAGCTTGAAGCATGCTGGCACCACGGACAGACAGGCATGAAAGATTAATGTAATCTTGCATATAATGATGCACATTCTTACACAAAAAAATCCATCTGCAATGTCATGTCAGTCAGCAGAAATCTTTGATGGGTGGATACAGCTGGGCTCTCTCTCCTGGCAGAGCTGCCCTAGAAAATGCTAAATGTGGTTGGGATGCTTGGTGCCATCTGCAGTGTGCCAGTTTATCCTGTCTTCACTGGCATCTACAATACTGCATAGGGCCTCATAACTGTGGAGACAGCAATAGGGAGTGACAGATTCATTTCCTCGGAGAACCCAGCTCTGGTGGGCCTGTGCCACCCTCCTCGGTGCTGGATCTGTTATCACTGGTGTTGGCTTTGCTTCACGTTTTCACATCCCACTCCTCCTCCTTATAGTCTAGCAGTTCCAGATACACATTCTTCTAGTATGTAAATCTTACACTAACCTTTCAACTAATTTATTCATGTAAGGTTGCCAAAGCGATTTAATATCGAAGGCTTGATGCCAGCCAATATGCCTTATTTTCAAAATACTCCTGCTCTTAGGCTTCTGATTTAAAAGGAATGTGTCTTATTTAGGGAACACTAAATAGACAGGCACCAAGATAAATTTTCCAACTGCTCTGTGTGGGATATCCCCAGATGACTTATGTAGTTGGAACAAATATACGACCCTCTTTTGCATAAAGCTATAAAACACATCAGGCAAGTAACACTTAACTCTCTTTCCCATGATTAAAATATAAATATTCAAGAATAAATGTTGTATTATGACCTGACCATATGTTTATGATATTATTTTGCCAAAGTTAAAAAGTATAGCCATTGTTTAAAACTTTCACCTTTTGTGTTTTTTAAATAGTAACGGAATATGAAGGGCATGCTCTGTCACTGCTAAAGGAATGCGAGCTGCAGGGATTTGATGGGTAGGTTATATTATTAACCTATATATGTCACATAGTTTATATTATTAAATGTTTTCATTAGTTTTTAGCTATATATTTGGGACTTATAAGTTTTAAACATGTATGTAGTTAGGCTCTATTTCTTTCCTATCTGTAATAACAATGAATGGTAATTATGATACTATGGCATAGTCATCCACCTCTCAAGATCAGGTACAGAAAAGCCAAAGGAGAAATCTAATCACAAGGAGACATCTAATCTAAATGTGGTATCTATAAATAATTTCCATTGGTAATTATACTTAGCGAGGTTCAATGAGAACTTTGCAGAATGATGAAACACTATTGCTCAAGCTCTGTAAGGTATATTTTCCTCTTTACCTGAACTTACTCAATTCTTATTGTTATTTTGCAGTGTGGCGCTAAAAAAATTAATTATGGAGATCCTTTAGTGGATACCCCAATTTTTTTTAACCAAATAGTTTGGCCTGACCATTATATGATTGAATTCCAGTAATTAACTGTTTCTAAACTCTAGCATGCTGATTTATTTAGGACTTATTATAATTTAATTTTTTTTATTGAAAGTTATCTGTTTTCTAAGAGCCTTGAAGTAGCGCATTGATTTCTTTGGGCTCAGTTTTTCCAGTAGAAACTGATATGGTGGTTGGGATCTTAATAAAATGGTCATTTTTAATTTTACTCTCCTTAGAATTACATAGAGAGGTATATGAGAACGATGGAAATGTAGTTTCTTTAAACTCTTCAGAAGAACAATTTTCTAACAATAAGAACCGTTTGAAAATGAATGTCCTAGTTCCCTGTTCTTGAGTTCCCTGTTCCTGAACCCATTCGAAGAGTAGCTATATAGGAACACTTTTTGTAGAATGTATTCAAAAGACTCAAGGGTGGTGTAAGGTAACCTCAGTATTCTATGGAATTTTGATGAGAGAGGGTCTGTCATTTCTTCAAGAATGAGCTGAAGCGTGTCTGCCTGACTCTGGAGGAGCTGTTGACAGAGTGATTAGGGAATCATGTAAATGGTTTTAGACACAGAGAGGTTAAGATCCAAAAAAGAGTCTATGTATATTATTCAGTAAAGCAAAACTGATTTGGTAAGTACTGTTTAAGAAATGTTATTTGTAAGATTAACGAGTTACATATGTTTCTACGAAGATACATTGGGACGTATTTCGAAAGCCAACAGGAACCCTGTGTCAGCGATCACTACAGCTGGTATGCAACTTCAGTGTTCTAGCAAACACTCAGATCCTGTTGCTAAAACTTTAGGAGCGTATTTCTATATTGGCCCCTATTTATTCTGGGCATGAATAGGAAGTTTTGTAAAGGCAAAGAAAAGACTTGAAGCAGTAACAGCTGAATGTACAAGTGTGAATATGATTAAGCTAATCTGTAGCTCTTAGGCAAAAATATACTAATATTTTCCTATTTTGTTGCACAGAGTTTTCTAATTGAATTTATTGAATTACACTTTTTTTTCTTCTGTTAATTTCACCGTTAACTAGACCCACATTAATCTAGACATTATTTGGCTAACATTGGCATTTTATCACACTGGCCATGATATCTGTATAACTAGGTTAGAGAAAAGTATCTTTTCCAAAAAAAATTTTAAACAAAAATTTCAGTAATATATTAAACATTTCAAAGATGGTATTGGTTGATAGATAAATACACAAACACCCATTTAAAACATTTTCATTTTACTTTTATATATAAGATATTAGCCCCTAAATGTACTTTTCTAGACAGAATTATTCTGTTTGGGGCTATGGCAAGAAGAAATTGACTTATTCTAAAAACATAAGATAAACCATTTGCAAAATATTGGTTACTCTAAGGATTATGTTTTAGGGTAACTCTTAAGTGTGGTTAAATTAGCTCATTATAAAAGTTGATCCCCCCTTGTAGTATCCAGACCCCTGTGATACGTTTGTATTAAGTATATTCCTTAGGTCAGGTAACTACATCTGGAGGTGATCTTAATGACCTAGCAGTAGTCAACATAAATAAATATATATCTTCCTAACTCATTTGATTCCATATTAGTTATACTGGTAAACTGATTTTCAAAATAATAAAACTCTCATAAGGCTATATTCATTAGGTTTTATATGTAGGAAAGGAAAATAATATCTTAAATATGTTTTTATTGATTTCAGAGAGAGGAAGGGAGAGGGAGAAAGAGACAAAAACATCAATGATGAGAGAGAGTCATTGATGGGCTGCCTCCTGCATTTCCACAATGTGAACCTGTGGAATCAGTTTAGAAATAAAATAATACCATGAGCCAAAAATGGCCTGGGTCATATTGCATATCCTGGAGCCTCTTCTAACTAGAGTGGATCTGGATTGCCCAGGCTACGTGCAACCATAGAGCTAAACCTCAACTGGGTGCATGGGCTGCCAGGCTGAGAGCAAGGTGGAGAGAGTTGGTGGAAAAGTTCCCTCAGCCTCTGGATTCACCAGTCTCTGGAGCTTAGGGAACCAGTAACCCCCGCTGATTATGGCCCACAGACTGTTTTGTTTGGCACATAGAGTTTTTAAGTAGATAGAATGGTAGTATTTACAGATTAAGAGAAGCAACCCAAAATAAGAATCTGTGGCTTCTCTAGAAAAAACAGATGTGGTCCTCAACACCTGTCCCCCCATGATGTGCGTGGGTGGGATCTGAGAAGGGCCTCTCCTTTAGACTGAACACACTCTTCCTTTTTTCTCTGTCCTTGTTGACCTTGAGTTGTGACACCTACTTTCAAGAACAAAATCTTCCTTTTGTGAAAATTGAGGTGATTTTGCTACTTAAGATGATTTTGAATCTTTTAAATAAAAATGATTATGAAACAAATGTCTGATGTCTTATGTATTGATTTCATGGAGTCCCACCTCCACACCCCTGTAGTAGTCTTAAAAAAGATTAGCTGTACTGACTAGGGTCAAAGGGCAATAACACTAATTTTGGAAGTGCCATTTAGCAGTAATGTCCAGGAGATGAAAACTGGTTCAGGTTTGCAATTACTACATCCATATACTAATGATAATTAGCAGTCCCTTAAATTAAAGCCTCATATTTTACATGACTTTTATTGCTGTCTTTTCAGAGCTATATTGAAAATTAGCAGGACTTTATGACTTTGGTTTGCATTAGTGAAATGAATTGCACATCATTATTATTAACAAAATGAGAATAATATGTTTTTGGATATTAACAGAGCAAAATGGACCTCAGACATGAATCCACATCTTCAAATGTCCTAATACCTCTTTACCCATTTAAAAATACTTAGTGTATGGGTATCATCTGGGTATTACATTCATGAAGTCAAGCTTACCTGTGCAGTGCTAGTGTCTTCTTATCCACTGACACATGCTAAAATGTTTGAAGGGGTGTAGTAATCATGCACATAGAATACATAAGACTAATATTTTTGATGTCTAGATCTCATGAATTACTATCAATTATTTTGAAGTTTTGCATTGTTTTATTTAATTCCTTTTTTTCTAGTGTCGTCTGTGTTGGTGGAGATGGTTCTGCCAGTGAAGTAGCCCATGCTTTGCTCCTTAGGGCCCAGAAGAATGCTGGCCTGGAAACAGACAACATCCTGACTCCTGTCCCAGCACAGCTTCCACTCGGCGTGATACCAGCAGGCAAGGGAGTGGCCATGAGCTTGCTAATTGGACTCTCTCCTTCTCTCTTTCCCTGTTTTACTTCCTGACCTAGACAGTGTAACATAGAGTTAAATGCATAGACTTCGAGTCTGAAAGACCCAGGCTTAGCATCTCCACTAGCAAATGTGAGACTTGGACAAGTTATTTAATTTCTTTGAGCCTCAGTTTTCTAATCTACAGAAGGAGATAACCCACCTGATACTCACTTCATTACAAGGTCATTGTAGTATTAAATTAGGTGGTGTATGCTGAGGGCCTAATCCATAGTGAACCAATGGATAAGTGAGATCATCAATACTCTACCTTTCCATAAGAAGGTCTAATGATCACACAGTCCCAGATAATTAAATTTCAAAATGGGGCCACTCCAGTCAAACTGCTCATAATTTCATGTGAGATAAAGTGTGGTAATCACCCTAATCAAAGTATAAACAGGTAACCTTGAAAACACCAACAGGTTTATTCTGACTGTGGTATTTCCAGCAACTAGAATAGAATCCAGTGTGACACAGCGAACATTCAATGATTAGGTTTATTAAGTGAATGGATGTAAGGATGATGTTGTAGAGTAACACTTGAATTAGGCCTAAAAGTGGATTGGATAGGATCTGGCCTGAGGAAGAATGAGAATGAGTTTTGTTTTGTTTTTTGACTGCAAAAGTAACATTCCAAGGCAAAACCCAGGAGTGTTGAGGAACAGAAAATGGACCCTTTGTTGGACGATAATGGTATCAAAATAGAGGCAAACTCTGGTGGCTCATGGATGCCACAGGAAGGCGTCTGAATGGCATTTGATAAACACTAGGAAACAATGGGAGTTCAGAGCAAGGGAGCAACTCCCTGGGAGCTTGTTCTAAGGAGCTTCGTGATCGGGGAAGGGAGCAAGAGAACATGAGGGTCAGAAACAATTATTATTTCCTATGAATGCACATGGTTGAAAAAAATTAATGTTCTACCCATTTGATAATAACATTCATTTAGTATAGATTTCAGTATATTTAGCATTGACAAAGAACAAAAGATATACACATGTTCGTTTAGAGTATAAAGTCTGTCATACAGACAAGAATTTAAAAGAGTATTTTCATATACACTGATAATTGTAAAGCATAGAGAGAAAAACCTGTGGCGGTCTTTAAGAAAGGAACAAAGTAACCTCAACTCAGAAAGAAGGCAAAGGTGTATATGGGGCCAGCCACTGGGACCTTTCTGTGCCCTTGTAGTAGCTCTCTGTCTATGATGATGGAACTTTCCCATCTTTCTTCATGCATAGTGGATATGCTTAGCGGATATGCTTAGGTCACCGTTTTTCTTCATCAGTACTGTCGCTTGTGAGGTGGGTCACTTGTTGACTCCCTAGCATCAAAAGTGGAAAGATGGGTATCCCCACAGGTCCGCGTTTGGCATAAAGTGAATAGTTAGAGAAACTGGTGGCTGTGTTATAAAGGAGCAGTATCAAATTTTATCATCTTTGTGCTTTTTGAGCTTCTCTGATTTTGAAAGCATGTCCTGTGTACAGTGGATATGTAGAAATGCCATTTAAATACTTATTATTTAGAAGATGTAGCCTGTTGCCAAAACTCTGGTGACAGTATAGGAGTTCATCTTATGGATCCCATCTAATAGGAGGAGGGCGTCATGTGTAGGATGTATTTAATGAGGACTCTGTGCCTGCTCAGGGCTTTGATTGAGTGAGAACAAGAGCTAGGCAGGAAGTTTCCAAGCTGAACACAGAAGACAGTTTGCCTTTGAAGCCATTTGCCTCCTGAAGAGAGACACCCAGAGGGAGAGTGTTTAGTAAATTACTACACTGAGCCAACAGACTAAGCTGCTGAATTATGGCCAGACTCAGATGGATCAGATGTGGAGAAGCCTATATTTGAACTGCTGGCCATTAGCAATGGTGTTTGTTGCTATGGGAACTGGTGCTAAGGAACTATACAGAGAGATTTGGATTAAAGGGTGTGCCTGTGTGGGCTTGGGGAGAAGACAGAGAAAAAGCCCGAGAGGGCATAAAAATAAAAAAAGCAATCCAGCCGTTGTAAAACAAGGCTCAATCTACATACTGATGGCGGCAAACGATATATTCCTATAGAGTTCACATAAATAAATTCATGCTTTCCAATTAATTTGAGGAAAATAAAATATTGCCAAGGGACTGTTAATTTCTATGATATTTCGGGCACAGAACCAAAGTGTAGGTGCAGTTTTCCTGAGAATTTTAGATATGCTTGACTAGGAAGTCATTACATCACATTTATCTGTTTAGATGTGGGAGACATTAACAGCCTTATGAATATTCATGGTGTCTGGTTAATTAAGTTAATTGTTCTGCAGAAGTGCTTGCACTTCCAAGGACAATTTTTTTCTTTTTCTTTTTGCCTCCCTGGCTTCTGGCTGGTGCTTCCATCAGTCATGCTTTACATGAACTGCTACTTCTGTCCTTACTCTGTAGTTGGCGCATTTTTTTTTTTTTTAAACAAGTCTGGGAAGGTGGCGAGTGAGCAAAGTTGCTGGTAGCATTAAGAAAAATAACTTTTCAGGCTAATTAAAATGTTTACAATGAAGTAGAACATTTACAGCTTTTGTGAGAATGCTAAAATTACATAGTTGTTATTTATGTGAGCAGCATGTTCTTTTAGCATGTAGACATCTTTTCAGATGAATCATATTTTGTTTCAGTAAATTGTACTCTTTTAGATTATCCAAATAAAACTATAGAGCAGTCTATAGTTTTACAATTTTACATCCACTTTCCTCATGAACTCCCCCCCACCATGGACTTCATTTATTTATTTTTAAAGTTTGCTCTTTTAATCCTCACTTGAAGATATATTATTATTGATTTTAGAGAGAGGAAGAAGGGAAAAGGAGGGAGAGAGAAACATTGATGTGAGAGAGAAACAGATCAGTTGCCTCCTGTGTGTGCCCCAGCTGGGGATGGAACCCACAACCTGGGTATGTGACCTGACAAGGAACGGAACTCGCCACCTTCCAACCAACTGAGCCACACTGGCCAGGGCTATTTTTAATTAAAAAAAATTTTTTTTTTCAATTACAATTTACATTCAATGTTATTTTGTATTAGTTTCAGATGTACAGCATAGTGGTTAGACTATCATATACTTTACAAAGTGTTCCCCCTCATATTTCCAGTGTCCACCTGGCCCCATACATAGTTATTACAGTGTTATTTCTTTTTAATTTAGAACCTAGAAACCCATTCTTAAGGACTAAGGTACAGGTTAATTAGAGTAGAATATGACAAATAATATTCTGACTTTTGGTCATGCCTGTCATCACTGCCAAGTTCTACGGAATTAAGGGAAAGTTGCAAAGTTGCAATGCCTAAGACATAAAAATTAAAAAACAGCAACCCTGATCTCTAGCATTCTAAAAGCATTTGTGCTTGGGCATGCTTAGCATACTTCAAACTCACAAGGACTAAACAGTCTTTATTTTCTTGAGTCATGATATGTGTCATTCTCTATTGCACATGACATTGCATTATGCTTTTTAATAACCTTTCTAGAGGAATGCATTTATGGCCATTCCTAATTAACCATGGTAATGGAGGAAATGTGTTTCATGGAGTACTGTAATCCTTTGATACCCTAAATATCTCTAATTATGTGGCCTCCTCCAAAATCTTTACCATAAATTTGACTGGGAAGCAAAATAGATTAACTTGTTTCCTCCCCCAACCCTCCC